CAGCGAAAATTTTATGATTTTTAACGACGGGTATTTTTTACATTTCTGCTTGTTAAACCTTTGTAAAACTATATTAGGCTTTGTAGTAAGCCCGAAGTAAGGGGCCGACTGTTCATCGTAATTTTGAGTGAATAAAGAGTAATTAAAATGAGCCCTTCTTGTGTTTACGATTTCTGTTATTTGAACTAAGTGATAATTCCCTTATCCTCGACATTTAATTTAGTAGAATAAAAGTGAGGAAATCTTTTTTTATTTGCCTTCCTAAAGCTATCAGTTATTTAGCGAAAAAAGAACTTTTCCCTGATTTTATATATAAAACAGCAATTGGTATTAATTCAAAGCTACATGCACTGAAAATAATGAAGTGCACTGAAAATAGTATTTTCCTTCCGTAGCATAATCAAGCAATATTTGGGTTTACTATTTTGAAAAACTCATTTTAAATGCACGAATTTGCATCTTTAATTTCTTCAGAATTTTCTTAAACATGTATAACCATTGTCGTAGGCTAGTTACAATTTTTTTTTTGTCTTAGACGGAATTTTTTTATGGTTTTTATACTTAATTAAAATTGAAAAAAAAAGTTCATTTCTTGAAGGTGTAATAGTAAATTGTTCAAAATGTTAAACTATTTTTAAATGATTTTTTATTGCAATGTATTTTAATAAAGAATATATATTTAAAACGTTAATAATTCTTTCATAGAAACGAAATACTAGACAAAATGTTTGGAAAAAATTAAACGATGAAGTAATTTATTTACTTGCTTCAAATATAGCATTCTTTACTTTTTCAACTAAGCTACAATAATTAGCTTCATTTTTTACGTAGCTCCTAAAACTGATCCTATTTTGTTAAAAGTACTAAAATTAAATAAAAAAATAATGTTTACTTGTTAAACTAACACAATAATCCATTTCATTAATACTTTCTTGTTAAAGTTTGTAAGTTTCACTTAGCGAACAGTGTGAGCTAGTTTATACGATGTTACACATTAAATTAAGTAAATTTAATATCTTTCTTAAAAATGTGCAGTTTACTGCATTATCTTTTCTACATTATTTAAATAAATGAAATACTTAAAAATACATAAATAGATTAGAAAGTTTAGTTACCTGGTTTAGAAAGAAAGATAGAAGATTCGAATAATAAAATTTCCACATATCTGGATCCTGCATGGTTGCGGTTAATCTGAAAAAGAACAAAGAGAAGTGACAAAACGATGATAGAATTTATTTTTATATTGTTTTTTTGTGGCAACAATATATCAACAACTGACATAAAGTTTTCCGATATACATATGCGCCGTCTTTTACTGTCAAGGAATTCTACAAAAGTAAATATACGAAGGAAAAACCGAATTCAATAAAGTACGTTATAGGTAACGCATAACGTCCTGATGTCCTTCAGAGTTATTTTGAAGAATATAAGGGTTAGCGGTATGAGAATATTTCATTCTACTCGATTTAATTTACTTTCACGATTGATTTATGTGATAGTGAAAATATGCACTTCTGGTTATGAATTAAAAATAGAAAGATATATAGAAGAATGAAATTCGCGAAAGATGTGGTTAAGAAGCTTTATTTTAAAATGTATGACAGTTGCTTCGAAATTCGCTTATGCAAAACCTTTCATCCCAAAAAGCACTTTTATTTTATTCTCTCGACTTTCTCCTTAAGCGACTTTTTTTAAAGCAACTTTACGTAGTTATTTTTGCATTTTTATTTTTATATAACCTATGATGTCATTGTCTGTAAGTTGTAATGTAATTCTTTGTTCATAATAATTCTAACTGCACGAAAAAGAAAAGAACATATTTTATTTATAAAAACAATCATATTTAATGGAAAAATTTGTAAATTATGATTTAAATTATAATCAAAATAAACTCCAATCTTCAAATCCTTAAGTTATCTTCCAATATATATTAATAGTTTTCCTTTTATACGTTTATGTTTTGTACACCTTTTATTTTGATTTGTTTCTTTTCTGTGCTTTTCAGTATCATAATTTTCCCTTATCTCTCCGCGTAGGATTTAGTAATCAATATGATCTTATGAAAAATACAAGCTTTTTTGTTCTCCAATTTAATCATTATATGTATGATTGTACTTAGAATGATCATTTCAAGCGCCGGAAAAGTATTTTTCCCCACAAGATTTTCGATTAAATTGATTTATTGTTATTACAGCCTTCCTGTTTGTAAGCGAATACCATGACAATTTTCTATTTCTGTAATAAAGTTTTATTTTATTACAGAATTAAATTATATGGTTTATTCTTTTCATTATCATTTTCGAATGATTTCTTATTAGAATATTTATATTTTGAGAAAGCAGACCGCATGAGTCTTCTGTTAATTTTTGCAATATTAGAAATTTTATGTTAACCTAAGGGAAAAATAAGGAATTACAATAAAAATTTTAAATTGTTCATGAGTTAGCTTTTGCTTTTAAAAGAGAAATTAAAATTTCAAAGTGAGTATTCTGTATTCTTGGTTATATATTTTATCTTAGCACTAATTAATGTCTTAAAATATTATTCTGGGTTGAGTTCTAATTAGAATAATTTATTAGTTTTATTTCTTAAATATTTCTTAAATTCAATTTAAAATGTATTTTCTGAGAGTTCAGAATTTAACTTCAAGAATGCTTTAAAAATTTAGCAAGCAACTACTCTCCCAAAAAATTTAAAAAAATTTTTTTCATTACTAAATTACTAAAATTACTAAAATTTTATTTTTTCCCTTTCTAACATGAATTCATGATATGTGAAAGTGCGGTGATATTTTCCATTGCTATTCAAATAATGCAATAGTAAATTCTCTATAAAGCAAGAAGTTTCTGTGACACATGTGTGAATGCTTTATAAGCCATGCATCGAAAAAATAAATAATTTAGAAAGTGTAAATGCACGATTTTCTGCTATACTTAGCTTAAAAAACATTGTAAAATATTTTCTTTTCTCCCTTGTAAAGGGGTATCAAAACTCCTATACCCACAATGTTAAATTGGCCATTTTCGATGTACCTTTTTCAAAATCTGCTGCAGATAAAAGCTTGAAATTGTTTCTGTAATTAAAGTATACCTATCTGATTATACTGAAATGAGCGTTTGAAACATTTCGAATTTTAGAGTAAATTACAGAATATTTTGTTAGGCATAGTAAAATTTAGCACTTTTCTCACACAAAAAAAATTAAAAAAAATTTTTTTCTAAGTTTATTACAAAAAAAACTCATTTCAGTAAATATTAGGGAACCTAATCAATAAGCCATAAAAAGTTTAGATACCTGTGAGCAGTAGTTCCCGAGAAAAGGTATATCAAGTATAAAAAAGTCACGTTTGGAGAAAAACGCGTTTTTATGTAAAAACCCTCATTGATCAAAGCAGTAGATGACAAATTAAAACTAGATTTCTGTACAGTTCTAACTTTCTAGAGATTAAAGAATGGTATTTTTGGAAAGATAAAAGTGTAGAGAATTTGAAAATGTAAAAATCCGAAATCACAATTTTTTGAAGATTTTGGGGTTCCAACACCCCTTTTAACTCTCATTGTGTAATCGGTTAATAACCCAGATAATAAATAAAAAATCAGTCGATCAAATCCCGAGAGAAGTCAAGGTGATTTTTTCGTCTTTTTCATTTGGAAAAAAAAACCTAATGATCTTTAAGCCTAAACTATGAGCGAGGCGGATAATAATAGTATATTTCGATTTAGTCGTCAGAGTCATGGACTCTTCTTCAATCGCGCTTTTAAACTGACATCAGGAAATTCAGTTGCCAAGTGGAAGATCTGTGGTTTGAATCCCTCACAATTGATTTTTCTCATTTCCCCTTTTGAAAAACAATTTAAACCATCTCTTTAAACCATCTCTCGTAAAGTATAGTCGAGTAAACGTCTGCAAGTATAGTCGAACTGCAGAGGCATATATATCGTCTCTCAGTATCAGAAACACCCAGTTGAAAACGCTCATTTTGTTTATTCCCTCACTGATGCGATATGGATAGTGGAAAAATCTTGATGAAGATATAGAAATGAAATTACTTTTCTTTTCAGTATAAAGTAATGTTTATATTTTTTAGTAGTATATTGGTTTCAGTACAAAACAATGTTTTAAATATTGAAATAAAATGAAAAAGCCACTAAAGTGCTCAACTAATTACTTCAATCAAATCTTAAACGAAACATTATTAACTCCGAAGTTTGTTTTCAACATGAGTTTGATAATTACGAGCTTACAACGATTCATTAACATACAAATGCATTTTAAGGAATGTGATGAAATCTAGATCGTTAAGAGTTGCTATTCTTTCTTCTTTAGATGACTGAACGCTTTAGATGGTTTGTTTTAACATCAATAATTTATTCTCAAAATCACTTAATACTAGAGAGGTTTGAATATATTTTTCAGGTTTTATGTAAATGATACCATAAAATTTTGTGATAATTCCTTGCTTAAAAAATTAAAAGTACTTAATAAAACAAAAACAGAAGAAAAATATATAAAATCTGAAAGCAAGGGGCGTTTTTCTTAAGATTTTGTGTGTTACTTTTATTTATTCGATGTCATGTTCTTCGCAACTAAACTACATAAAATTCAATTCAACAGCAATATCACAAAATATTTAAAAACAGCATATCTTTAGAATTTCCGATAGAATTCGTGCTGCAGATAAAACTTCCCCGCCCCGGTAGCGAAATGGCAGACCGCACATTGAGTTGAACAGTGTTAAACGAATGTCGCATACTGCGCATGCCCAGAAAAAAAGTTGGCGTAATTATTATGTTGACGTGATTTGAAAAGAAGATAAATACGGTATATGGTAGATGTACCGCCATCTGATTGTAAACAAATCTAGCGTTTAAATCTTTCGTAGAGTATAATGTAAATGTAAAGTAATTACTGTGTTAAAATACGTTTTATCCTGTACTGCTCCAACAACTGGAAAGCTGAATGATTCGATCAAGTATGAATTCGATTGAAGAGTGCAAAAAATGGGTAAAGGAAATCAACATGCCCCAGTGGATAGCGCAAGAGCTGCAAACCAAATGCTATTGCAAGATTGCTTTCAGGTATGTATTTTCCCATTTCAGTAAATTTGATATAGTTATAAATGCAAGTATGTTTATGTACTATGTCACAGTATTATCTTTACACATACAGTTCATTAGTTTTTTTTTTTTTTTTTTACATTTCCTAAATTTCTATATATTGTAACATTAAGAAAAAAGTTTTAAGGAATGATTTTTTCCTTCAGAGGAATATAGCAAGTGTTTGTAAATAACACTCAAGAATTTTACAGTTACTTAATGCTGTTTACTTAATTCTTTGAAATAAGAAAAAAAAAAAAAACGCCAACATACATTACCAAACTAGGAGAGAAAATCCAGTGTACATTACTGAATTATAACATGTAAACAAATTAAATCTAAATAACGAATTATTACGGACATATGTTAAATGCACCGTTATCAGCAAATTAGCCTAAATTAAAATGAAACATATATTAATAAAAAAAGCAAATTCAATCAGTAAGGACGTTAAAATAACGAGTAAACAAAGTTCCATAATATTGCAATTGTAAACATCACTGAACCAGACTGGGCAGCAACGGACATCACGAATAAGCTAATGTAGAGTTGCTTACCCGCTCTCCCCGCGCCAAATGTACACCATCAAGCATGCGCAGTAAGCGAAATTCGCTTAACACTATCAACTCAATGTGCGGTCTGCCATTAGGCGCCCCGGTAGAGTATTGCCATTGCTTGCTTTGAAATCGTTGAGTTTCTTATTCAAAAGTTCGTTAAGGGTTTACAAAATATGAGCTATATAATGAAACAAATTCAAAATTCGGGCTTCCAGGTCGGGTGGATGACTACGCTATTCAAAATTGGATGGATCTAGGTACCATTGTTTTATCATAATGCGAGAAACATACAGAGATTCATGCAGATGTTTCATTGTTTAATTTCTTTAAATATAACACACGGAGATAATATTTCGTGGCAACAAATTAAAAAGTGGTTCCCTATTTATAGTAAAACGCCACAGAATGCCGTTTTCAGACTCACAGACCTTCTGGACTACCCCTCCTTTGGGCTAATAAACATTAAAACGTTTTCGGAAGTGAAAATTTAAGTAAAATAATTTCTAGGAAGCCTCAAATTAAACAAACGTCGTAACATGAAGCGTTGGATATGAGTTGCAATACATATTTGCTAGATATGAAAAATTTATTTAGTGTACTTACTAGTATATTAAATAAACGGTTTATGTGTAAAATCCCGTCGGCCAGGAAAGTCGGCCACTAATTCCGCTAAATTCAAACCAAATAGTTTCTCATTGTTCCCCACTGCATATTTAATACTAATTAAAATAAAAAGTTAATTTTAAAAAGAGTGTTAAAATTAATACTTGAGAACATACGATTAAAACAGTTTAAGGCATAGTTTATTTGCAGAATTAACTAAACATAAAGGTACTGTAAATTCATTATTTTAACAACAACAACAACGACAAGCTATTTAAATGTAATCCTAAAAGAAATATTATTATACTGGCGGTCAAAACTCCTCAATGGTATTCAAATCATTACATTTAAGTCTTCTTCTTTATGAAGACGGCGCCCTATAAATTCACATAAATTCGCAAAATACTGTCGTGCAGTTCAGTGACGCTTTTTGTTTCGCCATTTTCTGTTGGAGTCTCGTAATCTTTCGATGTGTATCCGGGTCAATAAAATTATAACTATGATTGACTTCGAAATGCTCGAAATTTGAAGCTCTTAATTCGTCAGTCTATAATGCCTTCCATGAGTCAGAAAATATAAGAGAGTCTTCTTCAATATATTCTTTAATGGCTTGTAAGAGGGTGGCTGCCGATCCATCAGCAACTCTTACGATAAAACACTCATTATTCTCTCGACAAATTCCTCCAAGCATCCATTTCTCAGGGAGTATTCTACCTACTTTTTTGTGCTTTGTGAAAAGTCTTTCATCGATTTCTGCTATGTGGTTAAGTCCTTCGATTTTTTATCTTTAGTCTTGACAAAAGGCAGTGCGCGAAAACTTCTCTTGGATAATTGTTCCAATCTATCACTGTCTTGTTACACAAATCTAATTGTTCTTATCCCTATTCAATAGTTCTTTACTCATTGCACCAACAGTAAATACATCTGTGTGCAGTCAAAAAAGCAATACTAGAACTCTCCAAGCAAGATTACTTTCAAACTAACACTCGCTTATCGCAATTTTTAACGTTAGAACGCCATTGTTTGTGGGAGTTCAAGTAAAGTTTCATATCGTGCCCTTTGACGCATTTTTCATGCCAGAATACAATAACTTTGAACATACTTAATTGCATTCTGTTCTGTAGTAGGTAGATCTCCAAATTTTTATCATTCTATGATGTAAAAGTAGAGAAACAGTTGTTAGAGCTGAAACTTTTGTTTAAAGAAACACAAATGATTTATCAAAATACCATTTTCGCCAACAATGGAAAACTATATATTGTTGGCGAAAAATTGGGTTGTTTGGCGCTTTTTTATTGTTTTGACAAAAATAGTGGATAGTTTTCCAATGTTGGCAAAAAATCGTGTTGTTTGACGCCATGTTTTAATTTTCGCGAAAATGGTCGACAGGATTTTACACATGTACCAAATAAGTTCAAGGAGGAGAAATTCAGTTTCGAAGAACGATGCCAAAAAAATCTGTAGTTGCTTCATTCAATGAATGATGATTTTAGTTAAAAATCGCAATAGCTTTTGCCTTTAATGGTGAGGATTGTCCTAGTGTTAGTTATATACGCGGTAAAAAGGTACTTTATGCTAATTCGACGGTGGAATTAAATTAACTATACTTAGTAACCGTACTCTGAAAACCAATATTAGCAGAGAAAAGTGCAATTTTCTTTTGAAAGAGCAAGATAACTTCAGATTGCTAAAGCTGGATAACCTTATGAGGTATTAAAAGGTATTTCTCCCGCCTTCTTAGCATGCTTTCGTGGTGTAGTGGTGAGCACACTCGGTGCGTACTTAAGAGGTCCAGGTTCAAGTTCCGGCGAGGGCACTGCACATTTTTCTTATCTCCTGTTTCAAAATGAATCTACAACCTTTATTAATTCTAGATTTTGAAGGTGAAAAAGACCTTGGAATTCTGTGCCCCGAATGTATCAAATATTCGTTATTGTTACTTCGAATGGCTGGACACTTGCAACTGAAGGCATTCATTGGGGATGGTAGGTACGTATCAGCCATTCATCAACCTCTTGACTGAGAAATATAGTTTGTTACATTCTACGTTTATTTATTTTTCTTCAAAACTTTACAGTTTCCTAACTTGTTTTAGTTTTATAGAAAGTACACTTAGCTACTTGATAGAGCAGCAACAGTTAATTTTTGACTTATAATTGAAATTTTGAAATTAGGTTAAATGGGTATATCTGCTTTTTATAGACATCCTGACTTAAACATTTAATGTATCTTTTTAAATAAATAGATATTTTACAGCATTAGTAAGCGTTATAAATTTAGGCACATAGTAGTTGAAATATTATTAAATAAGTAAGATATTTGCGTATTTAATTTAAATTGCGTTGAGTAAGCAAATACTTTTCATACCTGAATATGTACTATTACACACGAAATATAATTGCTTTACTTTAAATTACTCATAATTTCAGTGCCCGATTGTGTAATAAGGAACATGACTTCCATTTAGCTTCGAACCTTCTTATATGTCCAGCATAGACTCATAAGTTAATCTTAAGTTTTAGAAGCAAACCTTGGGAAGAATATTTCCACTTTAATTTATAAATTCACCAGTTTTTTTTGGCCGGAATGTTTTAGTGAATTTTTAATTACAGAAGAAGTTTAGACAATACTTAAATTTTATTTTAATTAATTTTGGATATTAAACACTCATTCTACATAGCTTGGAGGATTAGAAAGCTGTACATACAGTGTCTCACGAAAGTGATGGGACACTTGTGCTTTACAAAAGGAAACTGTAATAAAATAAATTAAAAAAAAACATGTAAATATTTTTTGTAGGTGTGTTTCATACCTAAATTTAGTAACAATTATTACATAACATACATTTTCTCAAAATATTAAAATATTAATTTAATAAAAATACAATTGTTTACAACGGAGCAAAAAATGGCTCACGTAAGTGATGGGACACCATTAGATACTACTACGTACTACAATAAAAATATTTTTTTAGGTTTTTATTTTTACTCAAAAGCAATTGGCAATAATTTATAAAATCGTCTTCGGTATTTCTCTCCAGTTTGTTTTTGGAATTTTTGTGTTTTTTAGCTCTGTGCAGCCATGAATGCTAAACGAAATGAAACTTTGCCTGGAATTCGAAAATTATTTATTAATTTGCATACTGGACGTGGAAAATCTATTAGAGAAACTACTGAAACAGTTAACTTCAGTCATTCAACAGTTTTCAATATCATTATATGATATAAAAAGAATCATATGATTCAGGATAAAAGAAGACCTGGCCGACCATCAAAGCTATCCAATGGAATAAAGCGAATTATCGTTCGAAATATTAAAAAAATCCAAAAATGAGTGTTTCTAAAGTTGCTGCTGATTTACAAGCATTATATAGAGTAATTGTTAATCCTGAGACTATTAGAAGAGTAATTCGATCTGCTGGATATCACGGTAGAGCATCCAGGAAAACATTCTTCGTAAGTGAAAAGAATAGAAAACTCAGACTGGCTTTCGCAAAATCCAACATAAATAAGAATTATGATTACTGGAATGAAGTTATATTTGCTGATGAGAGTAAATTTGATATATTTGGTTCTGACGGTAAAATCGTGATGTGGAGAAAACCCAGGAAAGAATTTCGCAAACAAAACTTGGTGCCAACAGTACAACATGGTGGAGGAGGAGTTATGGTATGGGGGTGTATGTCGTCCGCTGGAGTTGGTAATCTTGCTTTTATTGACAGTATAATGGATCAGTACATGTATATTGACATTTTAAATCAAAATTTGAAATCTTCAGCACGAAAATTGAACCTTCATAACGATTTTAAATTCTACCAGGACA